ATAAAACATAGATGACTTAAACAATTCAAAGCAAAGAAATTCACAATATGGTATTTCGACAAATTTTGATAGTTTTCTCAAGATTGTGTACTCAGATGTTATTACCATTTTCTATTAATGTGATATTTTATTCCATCTGGAACACATGTTAGAATATACATAGAACAAGAGATTTTCCCCTGTGATTCACTTGTTCAGATTTGGACCGGTTTGAAGGCCATGATAATGTGAAGAGAGAGAGAGAAAGCCATGAGAGAGAGAGAGAGAGAGAGAGAGAGAGAGAGAGAGAGAGAGAAAGCGAGAGAGAGAGAGAGAGGATAACGATGGGTGAAAAATGGGAAAAAGAGCACTTATCAAAGGTAGCACATTTTCCACAGGAAGCAAGGTAATATCTTTAATAAAGATTTATCAATGCTAAAAGTCTTTCCGAAGGCAACCTGGGATGAAACCTTTCAGTACCCTTTCATCAAAGTTTCTCAGCGTCTAATAAATCTCTGCAATGAAGATGCATCGTGTATTATATTGCCAATGTTGCATTTTGTTAATGAATGTATGTTCGCAGACCATTCGACCCTTCGCGTTCAAGGGAAAATAAGATTAAAAAACCTTACACCTTTTGAGTAAGCTCCACCGCCGGTATTGAAGAAACAAGTACGGGGGGGGGGGGGGGGTTTCTCACCCAAAGACTTGCTTCTAGTGGAGGTGGAACGACCTAGCTTAAGTCCCCTTTACATTGGACGGCGTCCTTTCTGGGTCCCAGAGCTCGGAGCCGTTTGAGAGTAAAAAGATATTACGCGCCAACAATTGGCCGATCACTGAGCATTCATTCCTGCAACCAAAGAGCTGCTTGTTCCTCCTTTCTACGATCACAATGATGCCAGTTTCATGGACGCACATTGGTCACAGACCTGACGCCGTCCAATGTAAAGGGGGTTTTACAACTCACTATATCCACAGATTATTTTGTGCCTATTTCACAAATAAAAATAAAGAACTGTCCGAAAGTTTGTGATAGCTTTTAGACCACATTTTAGTCTTCTGTTACCCAATTAAAACTAGTGGTGTTTCAATAAGCTGAACTAAATAGTGCACCTGTTTTATAACAAGGAAAATATTGCTACTGTTTAAGGTAATTGTTTTCAAGACTAGACTAAAGACTTCCAATAAAATAATCATTCATAAAAATTATTCAGTTTGTGATTTAATATTTATCTATCTATAAAATGCAAGCTTTCAAACATTTGGAAAAATGTGATACATTTGTTAGCATGACATCAGAGCCTCATGCTACATCGCGTGACGGTATTTTCACAATGATTTCTGACTTCATCATTTTTTTAATCAAGTTTACCCGAACGGTTCTAAATCTGTGTCGAAGTGACTGGTAAGACAATAAGGTTTTTATCTTTAAAAGAAACTCAACACCAGGCAGTGTAATCTGCCAAATAAGACCTGTGGCCAGTGTAATCTATGTGATAAAAAGCCTTTTTGCACCATTTATTTCGAGGTTGATCCATGTGACTGCATGTGAACGAGCCTTTTACCGCAGCTCCTATGTTTGAACCGAAAATGTCATTTTTGCCCCGGAGCTGTCATATTTGACCACGGTCATCCCCGGCCACTAAAGGACAGTAATGACCCTCACAGCTGATGACCCTCGAGACCAGACCAGTAATTTATTTTGTCACATTTTTTTAACTTGGAGATAATGATCTAAAAAGACTGAGATAGAAATAAAATGCTCATTTCAACATATAATTTATCACGAACGTGATGCTAAAGGACAGAAATAGACATAAAATGCATCATTTTGACATCGGATTATCATCTTCCGCATAGTAAATTGTCACAGGGTCTACGATGTTGATGCATTTTTTACATTCCAAAAATAATAAAAGCAATTTTCTACAGGGGGGATGTATATACATTTCTTTGGCGTGATATATATTTGCTGATATACATGTATATTTTTATTTGGAAAAACTGAACAAAATGACAAAAAATGGAAAAGCAGACTACATGAATGAAACGCAATTTTGAAGGGGAAATAAATTTTGGGTCATTTGGTTTGAAATAATTGGCAAGACAGTTTCACAGAAGAAATGACCTAAATAAAAATGAAGTAAATTGAAGTTGAACAACTGTCTTTGCAGAAATCGGTGGCTGTTTGCGGCACACAGTTTATAGAAAATGATATAACCTCCCCCCCCTCCCCCACAAACACATCTGTAGCATTTATGGCCTACTACATGTAGTATGTTCACACCTATCCCTTGTATTCCCCGCCGTTACCTGCCATTTGTCACCCAAACATGAAAGAATTAGGTTAACTCTTGTTAACATTCACATTTCTATCTATAACTACAAAAGGTGGTGTGCCTAATATTTATTATGATCTTTATTCTATATTTATGGGCCTTATTTATTTGTCATCATATTTATTTATTTATTTATTTATTTATTTATTTATTTATTTATTTATTTATTTATTTATTGTAAAAGAGTACGGAATAACAGGGGTTTCATTAAAGGGTTTTTAATTGTACCGTTTAGTCCTGCAAATGCCAAGGACACACACACACACACACACACACACACACACACACACGTGCACTCGATCTATCAGATGCATGCACGCACGTATTCAAACACACACATCTAAATACACAACATCATCAACATCAACAACAACAGAAACTAATAGTTAAATGAAAATTGTGTGAGGAAATCTTTTGTTTTCAAGAAACATCTGTTATTTCCCACCATCCGCGTCACAGCTTGTAAATTTCAGCGTTTGTCATAAAAACACAATGTTAAGTCCACGAAACCCGGTTAAACTCTCTTTAAACTCTCCCCTCAGTCACACTTCACTAAACTTGACAACCGACCAACACTAACGCAGCAGGGGCCGAGTAAGAAAACTCTTCAATAATACAGCTATGTCCATATTTCTTCTGTGGGCTATTTTACACGTCACGTTCCCCGCCGTACGAATAGGTGCCTCACGTGCCACCCATTCTTGGCATACCACGCGAAGCTCGAGCTGCGCCGGTCGCGCGTGCTACGTCACGCTATTGTCTTGCGGTTGCATTATTTATTCCAAAAGGCAGTTTATTACGGAACCCAATAGAGTTGATTGATTTGTTGGTGATGTATAAACACGGTAATATTTTCATGTGAAACTGATGGGCAGACACGCGGTTTTAACATAAAAATTGGGAAAAGGATGGCTTAAGCTGATTTATTTACTTAATTATACTTATAATTGTAGGAAAAAATGTGGAGCAGAAAATTATATAGAAAAAAAAGACTTCCTGGAAATTAAACTACTTGGTTACATAAATTGCGAATGTATAACTATGGATTCTCTAATTTCTTGTCAACTTCTTGTCATTTTTAGTCATTTATGAAGTTTTCATTCAATTCATTAACAAACATGCAAAAATATATGAGGCTTGTAAGGGGAAATTACTTTAAACATATATTTCCCACTGTGATATAATTATACATTTGATGACATTATCCAGAGAGAGTAGGACACGATCTTTCCATGTTTTCCTCCACGCCCATGTTGAATGTAGATCAGCGTAGATACCCAAGTTTTCCTTCTTATCTGGGCACTTGAAATGCCACCACTTGATGAATAAATCCGCCTGTTGTTTGTCTTGTTTTTCTTCATAAAACAAGGGTGAACTGCGTGTTAGGAAACATTAGAAATAATGTAATGGTTGTTCAACAATTTTGGCCCAGTGTAAGTAACTGGTAGAACAAGAGGAAGTGAAAAATGAGGAGATATAAATAGGTTTTTTTCATGTCAGGGTTAAGTGTAAGCGTTTCATGCAGATATTTGTTGTCTTTTCTTGCGTTCGTGTCTTTACAATGGCGTGTGCACGTGCTCACGACTACATGCGAGCGCACTCGCATTGCGGAATCATAGCCGTCGTGCAGCGTCACTTATTACAGCTAAGATGTATTGGACCAACGTGGACATATTTCTGTAGTGCAGACCCCCCACTTTTGCACTCGCCCATTTCGGATAACGTCATCATGAAAAATGGCCACACTATAAAAAACATGCCACACTATAAACATGTATATAAAGAGACTTTAACAAGTGCCTCTACTTTAAATAACGTTCAACAATTTCAATATTAAGGAAGTGCGAAATATCCAATAGAACTTTTAAGTATAACAGCAACTATCGGTTTCAGTTTTGGTGTATTTTGTTAAGCGGAAGAAGGAAAAAGTTAATTCAGGAGACATTTCAAACCGCAAAAATAATACTACAGAAGGAGCGTATTTATAACGTGTTAAGTTCCACACGTGCTTGTAGTGAAGGTATGACGTTTTCATTATTAGAAACTTGTTGACTTTCTTTCCTTTATTATGATGTCCTCTTTAGTATTTCAGTGATTAAATTGTTTAGTTCTGCGATACGCGCGTTTTTTTCCCTTATTTTGAAGTTAAGTATGAGAAAGGCCGCATTCAGAACAGTGGACTACAGTGTAACTAGTCCGAGGGTCAAATATGGCGATCCACTACAAAGCTTGCCGTCTAATCCACTAAAAGACACTGAATAGATTCCCCGTGGGGAAGTATTCAAGTGGGTCGGACATATTTGACTCTCGGACCAGTTAGTGGATTGTTCTAGATGCGGCCTAAGAAGCGGTCGAATATCTCGAGTATGGCAGATATTGCGGATAGACAATCATGGAAAAAAGAATATCAGATAAGCAGACTGGGATGCAATTTCATTATATGGCAAAGGCGCCTTTCCCTTAAAAGTGCTAGGTTATATATCCTGAACAGGCGAAATACCCCTTTTTTCGTAATAGAACCAGACGGTCATCAGATCGTCGGGTCAAAGGTCGTGCCAGAGCCCGCGCGACGAACCTCGTAGTGACAAGTATCGACTCCGTGACGTATCACCACAGACAAGAAAATTGCTGCAGGTAAATCGTCACGAAATAAGACGATCATTTTAAAAAAGAAACGCCCCCGCAAGACAGCAAGCGACAGACTTAAGCGGGAAGGGATACTTTTATTTCAGTTTACGAGAGATTATCGGCAGCGACAGGTCCTTGAAGGCATTTCTACATCTTGCAGCGAAAGAGGCATTTTTGAAAGGACACTTGTACTTCAGAGATATGTTTTAAATCTGAGCGGCTCCTTCGACGAAACCTAAGGTAAGGTCGCTCGTTTTTTTTTTAAAGTCGCTGTAAAAACTTTGCTGGCGTATGGTTATCCATTTAGCGAAAATTGGCAAGAATGTTTTCGGACAGCAGCTTTAAAATCGTGTCCGGTCTAGTCGCTTCACTGATGTGTTTTGCTTAGAGTCAAAGAGGGAAGTTATAGAAATGAAGCATTTCAATTTAAAAATCTAATGCAGAGTTGTTTTACCCGGTCTCTTACACGGTGCTCTCATACGGAACGGGGTTACATTTATCATATATTATCATGTAACATTATTAAACGAATATGATATTAACTATTCATCGCAACACGGATTAGTTGTATAGTACTTGGAAAAAAAAGTTGAATTTAAAGGATGCTATCCATTGTTACGACATCCGCAGACTGTGCAATCTATGCCTGGTGTTTATGGAACCTTTTCAGACCTGAATCGATCTCCATTCCCATTATGTGATCTGGTGCCCGGAATAATCATTTACAATTATCACCGCTGCAATGATCAAGTAGGCCCTACTTGATTCTTTCCCTATTATACTTTTATATTACTAGATCTATCATCAATGGTTCCATGTTTTTGGAAGGAAGAGGGGGGATACAAAGGTGAGATTTATTTTACTCGCTTCGTTCGGCATATTTTTGATGTTTAAATATTTGAAAATCTATAGAAAGTAGATGGGGACCAATTTCTGCAATATGTAAAGCACAAGAAAGGGAAAACCGCTTTGTGTTTTTTTAGGGGGGGGGGGAGGAGGGAGGTGTGGACGTGACAGGAGTTCCTAGGCAAATCGGAGGGAAGGGAGCAAGCGGTCCACCTTGTTCCAATCTTCCGCCGCTGACTGTAATTCTTTCTTGAAATCTGGGCACAAGAGCTATCTATGTTAAAGGAAAACATTCGGAATAGTTTTTACAGAATAGTTTTTGCAATCCTGAAATAGAAATTTAAGGACTTGCGTACTCTCGCTCTGTGTTTACACTACGTTGAAAAACAAGAGCGCCTCTGGTTTTCAAACAGCAATAAATCGATCATAGATGCTCGTGAACCGTTAAATGCGATCAGTAACCACCATTTTTTCTTGTACATGTATCTACTGGAGTATGCTGCCTAACCCATTCTGGCTATCTAAAATACTAAAGTTTTGCAAAATAGATAAATAAAAGAAAAAAGAATTAATAAATAACTGTCAAAATTTGGCCGATGAATATATATATATATATATATATATATATATATATATATATATATATATATATATATATAAAGGGAAAACCAATAACACACATGTCTTATTTGAAAATTAAATCTTGTCGATACATAGCTGTGAAACAGCGTTCCAGGCACGTGGGGTTGTGTACAATACAGTTCTCAGAATATGGAGATAATCCCTGAAAACAAGTCGGATCGAGTTCGAAATGAATCGCAAAATGCAAACTGTATTTCAATATTCAGGAGTGTGATATTCAGGAGTCGTTTTATTTTCGAGTGTAAACGCGACGAAAAAAAACACAAGGGTTCAAATTCTGCCATCTCCCCAGAAAACCCCGCCGACATTACTGCGAGGAGCAATAGGTGACGAAGATCAAAGGAGCCGCTTCGCGCCGACGCCACATTCTTTAATGCTCAGATAGAACATATTTCTCTCATATTGTTCATATTTTATTATTAAGACCCATAAAATGAGATAAGATCTGGTATCTAAGAATTATGTTATCAATTTCGCGACAACAGATATCGTTTCTGATTTTACCGTACACGCAGCGACGCCGTGGCGATATCAGAGTAACCTTATCTGTTATCGTTAATCCGGGAGTTAAGCTACCCCAGTGAATTAAGATGAAAGAGTCTCACCACAGGAGATAGACCCGTGTGTTAATAAGAAAAAAATGCCATCCCCGTAAGATTTTTTTCTTCACTGTGCTCTCGTAAAGTTGATGGCCAACAACACCGGTGCCTTTGTATTTTTCCACCTTTCTCTCTAAGCGCCGTTCATACCGACCGACTTAAGGAATGGAACTCGCTTGCCCTTCGCCAGCGTGAAGCGAACACAACGGACCCGTTCACTCGAGCCGTATTTAAGACCGATTTTGTTTTCCTCTTCTTTCGCTTTGATTTCGCTCCCGTGTGAACATGCAGGCGACTGAAAGCCTGAGAAATACATCCACGCGGGCTTTGCCTGATTGCAATTAGGCGAAATTTGATTGCTTTACCATTTGCTACATGCATGACATAAAAATCTTACAAATTAAAAGGAAAGTCCAATTCCATGTTTGGTACAAAGCATTTTCTCGCTCTTCCCGTGTAATCGACCTCTTCCAACCAATGAATCAAAAGTTTTTTGCTAGTGTTCCAAGAAATATTACGTATCACACTCATATACATTTTTCTAATCGATACATCAAATGAATTCTCTGGACGTCAGTGGTGTTAAATCATGCATATAACACTGTTTTTTATGTTCGTTAACTATACAACGAGTCCGTGTTTTAGGTCTCTTTACAGCCTCGGGCTTGATATAGGGTTATTATAGGAACCGTGTGAGGAGAGGGTATAGGGGGAGTTAGCCCCTTCCCTGATTTCCTCGATCACGTCAGTCATAAGCGATGGAGGCAAAGGAGGGGGGTGGTTAGGCGGTACAGTTTGTTCTCAGCCGTTGTATTCAGAATGGTGAGCACCCAGCACTTGAAATAATCTGCTTCCTAGACGCCAGAATGAAACAAGAGCTCAACACAACAGCGATCAGAGTGAATGGATCCAAAGAGGAAGTATTTTGACGAAATAAAAAAAGGCACAGAAAAATGTGACCCCAGCCAGGACATAGTTTAGCGGGGCGCAATGGGAAGCTCATTCTGAAGAACGACAAGAGCTTCACATATCTGAGGCTTCAGCAAGGGGGATGTTCTCCTTACGCACGCGCGGTCTGGAGGTCTGTGTGTGTGTGCGTGTGCGTGCGTGCGTGCGTGCGCGCGTGCGCGCGTGTGTGTACATATGTGTGTGTGTGGGGTGTGTGGGTGGGTGGGTGGGTGGGCGTGTGTGCGTATGTGGGGGAGGGGGGGACAAGGGAGCCTCAGATCACTTGTTTGTGGGATAATAATTACATCAAATATTCACTGGCTGATTAACAATTCATATTGAGGGTGGGTAGGAGAGGGGGGAGTTGAGGGGGGAGGGGCAGGAGGGGCAGGAGGGGGCACAGGTGAGAGCTCTGGGGGGGACCCTTAAGGGTCGAAAACGAACTATTATTTACACTATTGGCAGAATGCTAAGGTGATTTTTTTAGCGTTATGACAAAACGAAATCAGTTCACACTACTTACAATACGCGTTCTCAGGTTCTTTCTCAATTAGGATCAAAACCAAAAATAAGACATGAGGTGATCTTTCTCCGTTCGATCTGCCACTGATAATGAGATAGCTTGGCGATTTTCAGGATTGCTAGTTTGGCGGAATTTGCTCCCCTGACCTTGTAATGGCTGTCAGGCTGCAGGTGCGCAGACCCATGTTTTTATAATTTATCGTTGTTTACTCTCATCTTTGTCATCCAGTACTCACCTAGTCAAGATTTATTTTGTTTGCTAAATTGTTTTTGATAATCACGAATGGTAGCTCGAACGGGTCAGACAAAACAGCCTTTGTGGCAAGTGATTTTTGCAAGCAAAGAAAAACACACTCGAGGAATTCGATACTGGCATGTGTCTTTACCATGCGGGTAAATGAGGGCTTCATCAATTGTAGAAAAATCCTCTCATAATCATCTTACTTATGTAAGAATTTCTTTCTCCCTTTCTTGTTTATTTGTTATTTGAAATCCTACTTCTTAAAATTTGACATCCCGCGTTTTGCCCTCGCGTTAAGATAAACTTCCTTTGTCCCAACAAAGAAATAAATAATAATTGAAATATGTATCATATAAAATGAGTGTATTTAATCATTTTCGTCTTATACGTCAACGGCGTTCTTGTTTCAGAATAACGACGTCGACCAAAGAGGTAAGTGAATCGTCGATCCCAACCGAGGTGGGCTCTCAAAGAGGGGGGAACGCCACGAGACAGTAACAACATTCCTTAGTCAATGAACTAGTAGTAGACGTGGTATGCGTAGTGAAAGAAGTTCGCGTATTGGGCGCCGAGCTTAGTATAAAAGCAATCCGAAAACCGTACTCCCGCTAGAACAGTTTAAGAACACCTTACAAGAGCATCCGAAAACGCTCGAAGACAAAAGCGGCCTAATAAGTCCGACTGTATTTGAGACTTTTATTTGAGACACGAAGAACATAGCAAATAGACGTGAGCTCACTGGAAGCGACTTCTTGCAAAGTAACGGATACACAGCTTTTTTCACATCCAGAGTTTTACTGTACGAAATAACAAGTGTATCATCGGTGGATGAATCCATTGCAAGTCAGTGCAAATATACATAGTGACGAAAAACAGGATATTTCACTTTCTTCTTAGGAGAGTCCGCATCATTTTCCTACCAAGAACAAGGCTATTCTTGGGTGAGGGATACTGAGAAAACTGCCCCACCCCCATCCACGTTCTCAGCGACTAAAAGACAGGGGGGATTTCCTTGTGTTTCCCTGGCACCTCCTACGCGGCGGATCACGTCTCTATTCCCAACATCCCCGGGGCACAGACACGACTACAAACATTTACAAACCAAGAACGGATATTTATACTCCTCCAAGGCAGAGACAGCACCGAATACCTACCTAGCGTGACAGCGTCCCCCACACACTTGGCGACACTTGACAGTTTCGCAGAAAGACTTCTCTTACCGCGTGTACTACGTTCAAATTTCAGCTACTCGACCACCGGGGACCGCTAGGAACGCGCACTCCCGTTTTAGTAGTGTGACCAAGACACATCGCTGACAAAAAAAGTGACACTTCACCGGTGACAGCCTTAACTTTGTTTTCTATTCCCGGCCGGCTACCAGCTGTTGGGAACACAAGTGTATCATTGTGTTGATTCTTACGGCACAAGAGCAGTAATAACTGTGACCTCGAAATGTCTCAGAAACAATACTTTGTACGCGCGGTGTTGATATTGGTTGTGACTGTAATTGTTGTTAACGGCAAGAATGTGAACACGTATTTCAAGGGGCTGTCGGCGCTGTATCAGGACCCGAAGCGAAATGTTCTGATCGTGAAACCGTGGACGCAGGCAGACCTTCTCAAAGAGATGCAGCCCTGGGATTCTGAATGTGAGTAGGAAAGCTCTCTCTCTCTCTCTCTCTCTCTCTCTCTCTCTCTCTCTCTCTGTTTTATGCTGGTGCAGGTATCTTTTTTACTATCTTGCGCTGAATAAGTTCTCTCTCTCTCTGTTCGTGCGTCTTTGTGCGCATTCCTGACTACATGATGTGAAATAAGTGCGTGTGCGCGTGTGAGCATGTGCGCGTCAGTCAATCAATCAGTCAGTCAATCATGACGCACGCAAGACAATAAGTGTGCGGGTTTTAAACAGGTGCACGTACGGTTTTTTTTTCTGATCGCGGTTTACGATTGAATTTTTATAAACTCTTCAACCTGTCACCGACCTTTATGTACCTTGTCTTCAACTCGTTGCCGAATCACAACACGTAAGTACACACTATGTTACGAAATTCGCTCTATATCTTGATTATGTCAAAATACCCACCTGACAGCCTTAGAAGCACGAGAGGTTTATCTTATGTTAAGGTGACTTTTTAATCAAGGCTTACAGGTATTGATAATGTCAGGTTTTCTTTCATTTCTGTATTTATCTTTTCTTATTTGAGTAACATACTTTAGATAAACGCTAACAGATAATTGCAAGTGTTTGTCGACTGTACATCAACGTGGGGAGCGTTTTTTAAACTGGTGAACACATGATCGCTAATGAACCAGACAATTCAGCTTTTTCTTTCATCAGTGAATACTCTTGATCTTGTATACGCATCAAATGAAGCATGGCGTATAGCAACTCGCTACCAGAAGCTAGCAGGGTGGTGACGTCATAGCTTGAGCAAAAAGTCCTCGTGGACGGTACAAAAATGTGGACAGCAGAGACCAAAGATATATCAGTCAATATATAGTGAAAATATTATCTGTGACCCTGACAGAGGGTAGCGTATATGATATCAGTAGTCTATGCACGTACCGGGGCATTAATATTTGTTTTGTACAACGCGTATTACTACGTTTTGACAAGAGGCAGCGGCAGATGAAGAATGAGAGCTGCAATTTAAGAAAATATCGAAAATGGCAGTCATGATTCCGTGATTGTAAAGAAATATTTAGCAAGTGAGCTGAGGTCTCAGGGAGTCGACATTTTTGTACCACACTACTACACTATAGTAAGTGATATAAACTAGTCAAAAGGCACTGGATGCAGAGACAAACTGTGCCGAATCACAAGGTTTTCTTTTTGTACTCACTATATCAGACGCTAACCTTCCTTCGCCTCTCATTAGGGTAAAAAACGTAAAAATGTTGCGTCTGTTAACCTTGAGATGAGTTGTCCGGGTCTGGTGTCGAACGCGTGCCCTTACACAGTGTGCGCTTTTTATGACTTAGAGCGCCAAATTTGGGAAATAAGTTGGAAATTCCTTTATCTCTGCCTCGAGCGTTCGTGTCAGTGCAATCAGGCGAAGATTGACCAATTGAGTTCTATTAGTCGTCGATATAATTTTCTTTTATTTTGTCGTCGTCGTCTTCTTCTTCTTCTGACTTTTTGCAAATAAGTTTTCCCAACACGGTTCTATTAGAATCTTATGTTGTTTGTTGTGTATCCCGCCAATCCTGACACGACAGGTAAGCTAAGCTGGAAGTTTTCCCTTAATGCCAGTTTTCATATTTTATTTCAATTTTATTTTGATGTTTTGTACCAGTCAATAGCAGCCAGAATAATCAAAACAAGTTGACGCACCCCTTTCACTCCCCCCCTCCTCCCAACCTACCAGCTTGGATCAGCCGATGCATAACGGATATTGTTTCCTCATATCGAGTTTTCATTTCAAACCTTCCCTGACAGCATTTTCCAAATCAGTTTGACGTTATTTCATCCTTTTATGCTGACTTATCGTTTCACTCGGCGAGTTATCAGATCATCGTCTTTGTGTCAGCTGTATTGGGTTGCAGATTAATAGTAACTTTGGTTAGAGGGAAGAATCGCGTAAAAATACGTAATTCCGTCTTGCCTCGAAAGAATGAAGCACCTTTGTGAGCAAATTTAAGATAGTCGACCGTGCGTTGAATTCATCTGTCCTCTGATTTCACAATTTGACAGCCGAAGAACATTAGGACGATATTGGAATGCCGGGCGACAAAATGCACCCATCTAACCATTAAATAGTCTAATTTAACTCTGACATTTGTCATCATCGCTGCGGCACTGTTGTCTCGCGCAGACGATGGCTATCAGACGACATTTTTGCTTTGTAAATATCGACAGCGCCTGTTTTGGAACGTCGTACTTAATGTTGCGCTTCGATGTTCACAAATTGAGGAAACATATCGACTTTTAACCCATTTTGACCAAACTGTGGTTTGACACGTAGTGACACTGGCTGACACTAGCCTCTTGGTCAGTAATAGCTTTCATTTGTTCTGGTATTGACACACCCACTGAAAGTCAAACCAGTGAGGAGCTATTCAGACGGAATTTTCTCAATGCATAGCCCCTATCTCTCTCTCTCTCTCACACACACTTTAGATTCATCCTTTTCTATTCGTTCCTTCATAAAGTCTTCCTCCCCCTCCTCTTTCTTCTTCTTCTTCTTCTTCTTTCTCTATATTCTCCCTCCTCTATGCTTTATGACCCAATAATATAACCTCATAATTTGAGGTAAACTGACATAACATCTGACATATATCGCCTCTATCTGCACTGGGGGCATGCTCAACAATTTCCTCTTATCTGTTGTACCGCCAGGACTTAACAATACTCATCCTGTCTGTTGAAACTTTCTGGCTGTGCTGTGTCATTATTGTTTTTTACTGCTCTCTGTGGGCTATAATATATATACACAGTGTGGTTTGATATCGTTGTTCCGTGCATTCCATTCTAAATACCAATGTCTTCCCGTTACATATAATGGCGAAAAAGTTGGTCCAGGTAATGGTGGGATAGAAAGGTTGAGTGGGGGGGGGGGGGGTACTTGTAGATCGATCCAACCCCGCGTGGACTCTCGCTGAATGCAATCAGATTGAATTAAAAGCAATGCGGCCTAATCACTTCCCCTTAAACGGATTAAATTACGGCTCTGAGGTTTAATTGCTAGGCCCCTGCAGGGACGGCGCGTGTGGAGGTAGGGAGACGATCAGGGGACTAGGCGGCATTGCTTTTAAGAGGGGTCGGCCATATTAAGTCCACAGATCAGTTAGTCCGCGGATCATCTGTTCTGAATGCGACCTGAGCAGGCAATTTTATGACTGGATGTTGATCCAATCTTTCTTTTGTTATATCATTTTATGACTCCTTGTGACATCTAGTTTTATGGACGATGGTCCATTATTTTATCGTAAACATGAATAAAGATTCGAATCATGTAATGAAACACTGGTAGTTGTCCCCATTAATAAATAACAAAGTATTAATTGCATTTTGCCTTAAGCTGCAGACTTGACAACAATATATACTTATATGCATTTGTATGTATTGTTACCAGAATCCCGTGCACCTTCTACCAGATTAATTTTGTGCACTTTTCTCCATAAGATATGTACCATGGATTAGACAGAGACATTATCTGTGAATATCTGGTGAAAATTCAATCTGCGGCCTTGGTAGAGAGTACCAGAATTCACCGTTTACCATAGTGATGATATCTGTTCGAACCTTTATCGAAGAAGGAACCGGATCGGCTCGTGGCGAGTAAAGAAAGCAACTCTGTGCAAAAACATCATTTTTTGTTAACTTTTCACGAAAAAAAGAAAGAATGAAAGAAAGAAACGCATCACTAAGGCCGTTTTCTTTTTCTTGGTCACGTGTAAGGGGTAAAAGCTAATGCAGCCGGGCCACAAGCCGGGATTGGAGGATTAACAAAAAGGTTACAATAAACGAAATAAAGATAAAGGTAAATGAGCTGCGACCCATGGAGCGCGATGTCGGTTCTTGTTTTCTTGTACATCCTTCTCTGAGCACGTCTTAGATGGTATTACATTTGTCTTTTCACGGGCTGTAGCAATCACAACAGTCGCTTCAGTTTTGAACAGGCAGTGAATCTTTCTTTTTAAACGCCATTGTTGCTCTGTCGTTCATGACTAAATGCAATTTATGCAATCTACTCAATTTTGAATACGAGCTTTTAACCGACTGAAATGCGACTGTCCGACGTCAGTTGTCGCAACAGTATGTCATCTTGACCTTATTGTCGGAATATATGCTCTTATTTCGTGTTTACGACGCGATTTTAATACTGAAATGTTTCACTCAAGTTCGGGAGAGTGGTTTTAATCAAATTTATCGTTTCGATGTGTGACGGAGCATTTGGATTTTGTTTGTGGTCTTTCTCTCTCTCTCTTTCTCTCTCTCTGCGTGTGATCACTATTAAAACGAACTCGTTTTCTTTGAAATCTATCACGTAAAATGCAGACTGTCGTTAGTTCAATTTCGTCTGCGCCAAGTACAAATGTTGAACACGGGCTCATGTCTACTTAAACATACAGTCCTGTCTTTTAAATTAGACGTTTAAGGGAGATGGCATAGAACTCTCTGATTCTTCTGCAAGTAAGTTAATTAGTCTAAGTGACGGTTTTAGACGTAAGTGGCAGTAGGACCAAAAAGGTTGCGAAATCTACAGCTCATTTCGTCAATTTTTAAAAATCTTCTAGTTTTCCTTGCCTTTTTGTTCCTTTTCTGAACAATTACAGTTCCATGGGGTACCTTAACGTTGGTTAGGAAACAAGCAATTCCTTGTTCTTGTTAGGTGCCTGATGCAAGTGATAATATGGTCTTTACGCAAACTCACACACGCATCAAATGTGACCGAACTTCCTGGAGATGATCTGACGTGAGGTCATTCGGTATTCAAATCTTGAAATTGTTATTTCAAGGTATTTCAAGTCTCGGTGAATTGGTCAGCGATTAAGACGAAAAACCACGTGTTAGTTATTCAAATAATAACCCGTCGTCCTTCAAGAGCTGCGTCGTCTGCGTCACTCAAAGGGGTATTCGATGATTTGGTGACATATGCAGAAGAGGGGGGGGGGGGAGTGGGGGGGGGGGGGCTGGGTTTCAGCC